TTTTTTGGTCATTTCTCTCATGACCGTTTCTCCGGCTTCGGTGATAAATTTTTCAAGTTCTTGGACTTTTACTTGCAGGTCCCCGATCTCCTCTTCCTTTTTTTTTATTTCGTTTTGATAAGAAATTTTATTTGATTTTCGTTGTTGTCTATAACGAATGTATTTATTTTTACGTACAAGGTTTGAAGATTTACCCATTTTTGAATGTTTGAAATAAAAAATGACAAATATTAAAAATCGCGAAAAGAACTAAAAAAAAAAAAAATGACAAAAGTAAAAAGTTGCGAAAAAAAACTAAAAAAAAAAAACTTTGAGATGCTATTTAAACACGTCACGGATCATATGATTTATATTGTTCGTAACTCGATTTTAATAGTATATGAAAATATTACCATAAATAGTGTTTGATAATGAAGATCATGAAGATCTTTGAATCCCACAATTTCAACATTTCAAAAATTTCAATATAAATAAGTACAGAAATCATCTATCAATTCCTTAGTGTTTACACTCCCTCTTGTGAAGGAGTCGATGTCTATAGTGCGTCGCTTTTTCTTCATGTCTTCGGATAGAGGTAGCTAACTACAAGTAGTCTAGTCTCCTTTATAAGTGGTAAACTTTTTTTTATATTAAAGCGGGTGGGTGATAATGGAAAATGTATGGTACTCTGAAAATTATTTTATTGATCGACAAAAATTTTTGTACGAAGCGTAGCGAAGAACTTTTTCAATACAAGTCTGTTCGACACGTGATTTTTCAATCTTAGTTTGACATGTCCACGTGATTTTTGTCAATTAGACTTCTTTTTTTCATAAAACTTATATTTTAAAGTTCCTTAGCTCCAGTTCGTTATTATTACGAATAATTTGTTGAAAAATCTTGTCTTCATGTAAATAACTATGTGCATGATCAGTATTTATGTAATCCAATATTGAATATATATGAGTCACCAAAGATAAAATCGCTCAACTTATCATAAATTCGTTTCAAAAGAAGAATTGATTCGTAGGATTAGTTTTTTTTGTTATTTCAGAACTAACTGATGACTTTAATAGTAGTTTTGGGAACCTTTTGTTTAAAAAATTTTATTAAAACGTTTGACGCGGACCAAAAATTGTCGATGGTTTTTTTTTTACGGTTGGTTCAAGTGCAGGCCATAATTATCTAGAACTTTGATAGTCTCAAGGTAATATGTTAATTTTATAAAGATCCTTAAGTGGGTTATTCTTAAGCAGTTGAATTTTTTTTCGTGATTCATTCTTATAATAATTTATCAAAATTTTTAATTAATATTTAATTTTTGGAAATGAATTTACGATTTGAGGCACCATATTGACAGAACGTAAACGATACCTATTATTGGAGGGAACACGAAATTTCTATCCTCAGAATATCTCATGTATAAAGAAGTTAAAATAAATTGAAATGAAAAATGTTTAGGTTCCTATTTTTTAATACATTCAGAATTACTTTTAATAGCTTTAAATGTTTAGGTTTTTTATTCATTTAAATTTACGCAATTTTTTTTTTTTTTACTTTATTGCTTTATCAACATTTGATTTATTAATATTTTTAAATGTTAAAATATACTTTATATACATTTAAGAAATTAATGTACATCTATTTAAAAAGATATATTATAATATGGAACCTTTGCAATAGAAAGGGGAAACTGCCGAAAAAATTTTACTTTTATATGGCAAATATGATTTTTAGGTCAGATTTAACATTAACTCATTTTTTATTTGTTTTTCATCCGTTTCCCTCTTTTCTATTGCAAAGGTCCCATATAATCGAAGCATTTAAGCAAATCACATCAAAGAATTTCTTTTAGAAAGCAAGTAATATGGTATAGAAGGCATTAACTATCTAAAAAAAAAAAAAAAAAAAAAGAAAAATTTTCATCGCGTTTTTGATGATCACGGATTTTGCAACGAAATTCATTAGGTATATAATTTTCTATGTCGTAAACACACATCCATAATTCTTTGTTCATGTATATATTCTCCGCTAAAATACGTAGATCAGAACCAAATCTTGTAAAGCATCACATAATATTTTATTTGTATGCAAAAGTCATGACTATATAAAATAATCCAAGAAATTAAGATGTACCGCATTTACCGAATTATTTATACCAATGAAGACTGTTTCTATAATGATTCAAATTATTTAGTGTGTTCGACTTCTTCAATTACTAAACAGAAGAAACGGGCACTTTCATTAAAATAATAAAGTCATGTTCTTAATGATATATATTATCGATATTCTGTGGTTTATTAACCGTTAGATAAATCATCATCATGTACTGTACAATTAATACGTTCATCCTGAATATTGCATCAAGTTTACAATGCATTTAGAATTAGATGTTGTTCTATAAAATATGTCATTAAAGGTCTTGTAATTATCATTACACCAGTTTTACCGGAAATCTTTTTAGTGACGTGATTCGTTCGAAATTACTTATTTATATTTTCGTTTTTCACTACAAAAAGATCTTGACCGAAAACTTACTACGGATAAAATCAATAGAATTAATTTCCTTGATTTTGATCCGTTATGTAAAATCGAGAATTGATATTTTAATTGATATTTGCGGAAATTTTTTTCTGATAATAATAATAATATATTAAAAATATAGATAAATAAATGCATGCACAACCAATATAGATTTTTTCTTTAATTATTGATAATTGTGGTGGATGACAATTTTTTGGATTAATATTTATCGTCAATTTTTTCCACCTTTTATTTCACTATCTATACCAGCAAGACTGATATATATGCTATCGTAACCACGACCACCAAAAAGGGATACATTTCCTGATGACAGAGACTTCTCAAAAGCTAATTTTATTTTCCATGAAATCAGAGATCTTCTTCAGCCTTTCAGGTGGATTCATCAGGATCTTTAATATCAAATTATAAAGTGAAAAAAAAATAGGTTACAAGTCAGCATAAACTTCACTGTAGTATATGTTGCTTACATTTCTTAGTTTTTTTTTCATTATTTGTTCTATTTTACTCATTCTCTTCCTCTTTCTTTTTTTTTCTAATAAAATAAAATAATGAGAGACTTACCAGACGGTTACATGATAATGTGGATGTAAATATCCAGAAATTTAAATTTGGTTTGAAATTCCATCAAAATCTTTGTAGCCGGTTTCAGAACATTGCTGAGTTCAATATTTTCATGAAAGTTCTTATTTTTTTCAACGCCTCGTTATCTTTCTTCTAAAGAGTTACAAAATTTTGTAGCTTCAGTTCATTGGCTTTTTTAGTTGTTGGGCCATATCAGTTTCCAAAATTTATCTTTTTAAAACTGATATCAAAATTATCAGATTTGTTTATTTTACCATATGAAATAGATGCTTCGATAAATTTATTAATATGGTTTTTTCGATAAAAAAAAAAAATTGATAAAGAGTAGTTATAAACTAGCGAAGAATTGAAATGCTGCCTGAAATACAAAATAGAAATGATAAATTTAATTAAAAAAAACTTACATGCCTTTCAAACAATCCAACGAAGAACAGGATCTGGTCAAATATCGCCTAAAGAAGAAAATTAAATATTTTATTTAAATTTTGAAAATATTTTTTTTTTTTTAAAAAAAAAAAATCTTACCATTTCTTTTTGATAATCAAGGAACAAATCAACACTCTCTGATTATGTGATTCGCTTCCAGAATATTTCTCATGATTGTATTCGTCTCAGAAGCATCTTCATAAGAAATGTTTCTCAATTAAAGAAATTTCTTTGGAAGATTCTCAATAGATAAATTTCGATCATTCATGAATTTATCTAAAAGTTCCTCCACTCCAATTGTTTCAATGGAATATTGGGTTTATATAATTCCTCTCATGCATTCACCCCTCTTTCTTGATTTTAAAGTACTATCGCAAATGTGCTAACATCAGCAAATGAATAAGTGCCATTCTTACAAACCGTAAATCGAAGCATAATAATGATTGAATTTACGAAGGGTAATCCTTTTGCCATTAATTGTCTTGCAACTCGTAGCATACCAAAGACTTTCTTGACCGACTCCCTTGCACCATGCAGGTATCTTCCTCAATTGTTTGATCCAATCCTAAATTCCATTTTGTCAGATCCGTAGAAGTACCGTTTGTTCACTACTTCTTTGATGGGAGTTGTTATTTGTAGTAAAATGGTGAAATAATTTTTAGTTTCTCACTTTATATGACAAGTACGTATATATCAAGAAAGAATCAAAATAATACCTCTGTTTGTTCTTTGTAAGGTTGTATCAGAGACTTCCTTTCGTTAATAAACGAAGGCTGACCTGAATGAATTGTTTAATATTATTTTAATCAATTGAATGTTGATATGGTTTATATACGACTTGTTACGCTTTACACATTATCATCAACTCCTGAGTCATCTGTCGTTACCTATATGATTGATAAATTTATCCCTTTTTTCCAATGAAAGCGATGTTTCAATACCTTTACCAAAGAAACTAACTAGCTCCAGCTGATTACGATCGACTCCTTTCTCAAAGCATCATCATATTGATAAGCACATAGTGGATGCTAATAACACCGTCGGACTCCTATATAGGAAGGAAAATAAATTACAAAAACCAAATATGAATTTAATACTATCTCATCTTTGTTCGCTTCTTCGCTGGTTTTAAGTTTATTAAACTAAATAATTATCGTTTTTAGCCTTATCGAGAATTGTCGTCATTTGTCGCGTGAAAAACAGTACAAAAAATGGTAAACTTAAAGGGCATGTTTAGGTTATTATCCTAGACCCCATGTATAAATAAATTTTTCTAAACTACTTATCACGTGATATGTACAGTTGAGGTCTAGTACAAATCATTTGATCGATCATTTATTACATTCACGTGATCTTAACCAAAGATAAATTCTTTAAAAAATATTAAATATTCGAAAAATAAAATTTTAAATTTTAAATTATTTATTTACAAGTACTTTTTATTTTTATCTTATATATTTTTATTCTTTCATATCCATTTATAAATTCGCATATTTTAATTTAATTAAATGACATTTATTTCAAATGATAAAAAAAAAACTTTTAAATTTTAAATTTTCACAATTTTTACAAGACACTTTTTAATCGACGACCACTTTAAACCATCATTTTTTTTTTTTTTTTTTTAAATCTACCACTAAGTTAGCTCTTCGAATTTTGTTTTTCCT